ACAGCCTACTTCTAAACATAGATAAAAATAGAGAGAGAGAGAGATATCAGTAGTGTAGATAGATACCACACAAAAGATACTCTGCAGCTCTTAACTATAATTAAGCAATGATCCAGAGAAATTTTCAAAATACAGTCCATTAAAACGCACGGCACACGCACCTGCTTGTTGAGGCGTCTCCTTCCGGAGGAATGCTTGAGAAGCTGTTTGCACTGGCTGCCTGGGGGAGGGGTCGCTAGGGACTTAGAGGATGGAGGAGGAGGCAGAATTGCTGGGTGTATTTGAATTACTTAAGATGCGCTTGCATTGCCTCATTTTAAAAAAGAACAATTTAACGTACTTTTACAAATCCGTCCATAGGAACCAGGCAGTTTGTTCCATCTTTTTGGAACAAATATTTAAAGATAATTTTAACTACCCTATCACTCAATTCTATTTAAGTTATTTCTGTGAGAAGAGTGCCAATGTTTAGAGAATGCTATATTTAGATAATGCTAAATATCCATTTAGTCTCTCAAATACAGAAAACTTGTGGACCCTTAAATTATCTTCGGGGATATTTTTATTCAACAATCTGCTTAGTAAGCTGAAAAGTTCTCAGGCTTGGGGGGAATTCACTTTGAGGTGCTTGAAAAAGAGCAACACGGAGGAGGAGAGGACTCCGTGGGGCATCAAATCCAAACCCTACAGTGAGAACCCCCGTCACGCACGGCCTTCTGTTCCTTCCGTAAACACCAGCAGAGGCTCCCTCGCTCAGGAGGTAGCCCAGCCTGCCTGCGGGCGGCGCAAGTTACCACGGAGGCCCTTCATCCATTGGGTAGAGACCCGCAACTGCCAAGTGAGCTCTACCCGATACCTGGAATATTCACCCACCCTCTGTGGCACCGCATTTCAGAGTTCCACCAGTTTCTCCCAATGCCTGTCCAAGGCCGTGGTCTGCCTTGGGTTTATCACTGACAATCATCCCCATCAGACCCCAGGCCCCTGGCGGAAGGTCTGCCCTTCCTTTTTCTTTGAAACTCCTTACTTACCGGGTGCAACAAGCACACAGTAGGTGTTCAATTTTTGTTGCACTGAATCGAGCGCCCTCTATGTTCCATTTGCCTCCTGGACCCTGAAATTCTTTAAGCAAATGGCTCAGCTGTGCAGAAAAGAAGGTTAGCCCTGAGGCAGTGGGACCAACCCGACCGTGAGGATGAAGGGGGTGTGACAGACAGGAAATGGTGATACTTTCCGCTCCATGTGCGGCTGGGCCGCTCACAGTGCATCCTTAGCAGGCCGGGCAAACGGAACCCTTTCCTGCCGGCGGCCTACACACCGGGTGCTGGCGTTAATGCTCTTCAGCTGTGCGACAGGACCCACAACTAGGATCTGCCTTCATCCTTATCTAATCGTTTTATGGGGCATTAAGCTGCCTTTGGCTGAACCGACTGCCAGCTGCAAAAACACTCCAGGAAAGGACGCCGTCCCCTCCCACATCGGAGCACGTTACACTGATAGAACCCGCCCGTGTGTAGCTCTGACAAGAGCTTGTATCATTTATCATAGGCTCATCCTCTCCTCCCAGGGGTGTGGAGCTACACCCACAAGGGTGGAGGCAATTGCTTTTTGAGGGCGCCTGGGCTGGGCTAAAGCACTGTTAGGTGTTTGGGTAAAGCTGGTGAGCCTTTTCCCCTTGGCGATGTAACTTTCACAGTCTCCAGGTGACATAGCCGTTGTATAACTTCAAGGCCACGGTTTCCCCGTTTGCAAATGCTAGTGATCCTGGTTTTACCACATAGAGTGGTTAACTTGTTTGTGGGGTCAGCCTCCACCTGTGGAGGGACCCAGGGTCCTCTGGTCGCCGAAGGCATCTCAGACATGTTTTTGCTTGAAAGGGTAATCGCTGCGTGCCTCTCCCCACTCCCACCCTCTCCTCCGCGGGCTGCGCTTTGCTGGCGGCATGCGTTCATTCTGCAACTCCAGGCAGCTGCTACTCAGGGCACTAGGATCCCAGCAGGTGAGGAATGTATATTATGCAAACCATGGCAACCAGAAACACCAACATCTCCTGTATGCCCCCCAAACCGATCACACAGCTTTTGCAACAAAGCCCATGTATTAGAATCACCCAAGCCCCAGGAATGAGCTGTGAGTCTTGTGGCAAAGTTACTAATGACATTGGTATGGGAGCCAGCCTGGGCTTGGATCCTGGTTCCAAGCCTCACTGATTTGTTTTACCTTGAGTAAGTGATGATAACTCTGTTTCCTCATCTGTAAAATGGGGGAAATAATCGAAAGGCTATAGAGACTAAATGAGTTAACACAAGGAAAGTGCTTAAAATTGTGCCCAGCACAGAATAAGCCCTCAATACACATTAGCTTGTCTGGAAGAGAATTTCTCTGCATCCAAGGAGTTATTGCTTCTAAGCCCAAGATGCCCAAAGTTGTAAGCCCAGAGCGGAGCTCTCCTGACTGGCTCCTGGAGGGTCTCCTCTCAGCTGTCTCTGAGGCTCCTCCAACTCAGCACATCCAACACCAGACTCATGATCGTTCCTGACACATCCAGGCTGTGTTCTCTCTAGCACTCCCTGCCTCGACACTGGCACCACCATTCATCCCGGAGTGCAAGCCGAGACCCCACCTCTCCTTCCACCTCCACACCCTCCAGCCCAAGCTACCATCCGGGCTCTCACGGAGGCCATGCCGCTCCTCCCATCTGGTGTCTCTTCATCCTCTCTTGATCCTCTCCACTCTGTTCTCTGAGTGATCTTCTGCTTAAAGAACAGCATAAAGCTGTTCTTATCACACACGTACTGCCCCAAATTTTAGCA